TGCCTTGGCGCATTGAGTGCATTGACAATCCGTCAAATTTCATTCGGAATCCGCCGCTGCTCTCACGGATAGTACACACAATTTGCATTCAGCTTCGCCCCCATCTCGTCTCAGCGATACACTTGCACGTGTATCAATCAGTGACGGCTTCTTCTTCCTGTCTATGCCGATAACGAACTGTATGGTGGTCTGTGTTACTGCGCTTATCGCAACTTACTCGGGAATAGAGCAGTAATCCAATGTTTTATTATATACAAGTGGTCTAGTACGAGTATATTGATTCTTGCAGTGGCGAGATATGACACACTTGTAGCAGCGGTTTTTTCTAGCATGCCTGTGTAAATCCGTCCTTATGAGTGCAAGCTGCTTGTCGAGTTAATCAACTTTGTTTTCCAGGTCCTCCAATGTTTTATAATGCCTTTTCTCCTGCGACTGCAACGTGGTCAGTGTTGCCTCGGCCGATTCCCGTACCAGATGCACCTTGTGTTCCACACTCAACTGGCCAGTTGCTGGTGTCAACCGCTTGAATCGGTTGGTCCTTGCTGTAAGACTCTGAGGATATCGTCGATTCTTCCTCTAGGGCGTCGTCTTTGAGCGGTGCATCGAGGGAACAATGGTTTTCCTGGAGCGTAGGGATAATTGCAAAGGTGACTGAGATAATGAAATGATGAAGGAGAACAAGTACCGGACAGCTTCATACTTGTTCAGACTCGCTTGGCATCGTACGTTATCATGTCATGTGTAACGCTTGAATCGGCCAACGCACTTAACCCATCACGACATTCAGCGTGAAGGAGGAGAGCGAAGAGAGTAAATTGAATAAGGGTAGCAAATAATTGTCACACTGACTCACCTGGAGAGGTAAATAGACAAATTGTCGACCGAAGCTGAACGAAACGTTATTCATATCAACATCTAAATAACCCAGTACGTCATTCGTTCTAGACAGCGGATGGCAAGAAGAAAAGAGAGCTTTGCTAACTAGATTAATATGATGAAAAAAAACAGTCTAACCCAGATTTATACAAACATGCTAAAGAGCCAGTTGCAAATTCTTACCCCATGATGCACAAGATTGATATCTATTCATTGCTCTACTCATTATTTCCTTGTATTAAGATTCCAGATGCTGTACACATACGTCAATTCGAATTCATTTGTGTTACTTGTTACGCTGTGCTGAATTCTGAATTTCTAGTTCGTCTAGTTATACCAAAATACGTGTCGAACATAATTCTCAGATTTTGCTTCGGTATTGGAACAGTTCATCATGCCTGCCAAAACGGAACCATTAAATGTTAATCCAAATGCGCGAAATGCAGACGATTATTCGTGACGGTTCAACATATGGTGTCTTACAAAATCCCATATTGAAGATAAGAAACTCACGACGTATTCTGCTGGCAAGGAAGCGTACACGGTGATATTCTGATTCCCCAAACGATGGCTCCTACAATGCACTGAAGAAAAAAGTTCTTCAGCACTTAAAATCGATTAACTTGGTAGCAGCCGAAAGAGCTTGGTTCAATATTTTGAGCCGCTCCAATTCGCAATCGGTTCGTGATCTCGTATTGCAGCTGCCGACAAAAGCACCCAATGTGACTGCGCTGCCCATTTTGTAGGCCAACTATGTGATAGGCTGACTGCCGCCATTCAACAGCACGGATTACAGCAGAAGCCGACACTTCATCCAGATAATAAAATTTCAAAATATTCGGAAAATATGTGAGCAGTGAGAGGTAGTGAAGCGTGTAACGAAGCTTGATGAATAAGTGTTGTTATACTACTACGAATGAAATAATTCCAGGATGCAAATGACAACAAATTCAAACCTCGAACGAATTCTCTTGCCCCAAATCACTTCACAGTTCTTAACTCTCATTCGGTGGTTCAAAATTTTTGGGAAGTGTAATCTTGAGGACGAAGACATTCCAGATATTCACGTCCTTACAGACAAGCGAAATGTTTTATCTCCGGCAAAAACGGTGCACACCCAACATATGTGTAAGTTTAAAAAGTGGGTGTTGAGACACCCCTAGTTGGCGTCAATACCAGTGGTCAACTGATAACGGCACACATGCTATTTCGAATAATAATGAATCTTTCGTAGCTGATCTTATTTGAAGAACACCATCTGCAAAGAATATAAATTAATCACTCAGATGTTGTACCGTGCCACCCAAACAATTACGAGGGTTGAGAGCCTGCCCAATTTTAGACACGAGCAGGCGAAATGCCAGGGTTGGGCCTGAACCGCTAACCATCCTACCAGTAAATTCGTGCCTCAACCAGTGAGCTATCTCGATCTCTCTGGAGAAAAGGCCCTCCCACCAATATCGAACATCTGCTATTTTCACCATGATTTATGTTGTAAATCTAAAATCTTGAGAGGGGGACTAGACCGGAGTGCATTAATCGCTTCTTTCGTTTTCGTAACACGGCCAGTCCGGGCAAGACACGATATGTTATGTTTCATGCGCTTTGCTCAACCTTATATCTCCTATTGTGGGAGGCAAAAGCCATCTTTTATGTTAGTTAACCTGCAGCCCATGGAAACAAAATGCCAATTCATATTAAGCTTGTCCCGGGAATTTCGGATGGGTCAAATATCATGCTCCTGCATACGGTGTTCTGGATATCCTCGGGAGCGGCCACGTATAGGTGATTTATCTCAGGGACACAAATAATACCACGAGTAATTCGCGCACCGAGATGAATGAACCACCTCGTCATTTCGTCATTGAACATAATTCTCAAACTTAGTTTAGCTTACAATCCAGTTAACCTAGACCAGTATATAAGAAGGATTACTTTGAGTCGTGTTGAGTAATCCGTGAAGACGTAGTTACTGTGCGAATCAGACTCTTTTATCTATCATAGAGGTTCGATACGTGAAAGTAACCCTAGGATGATCGGAACCCACTCAGATCCTAAAACTCAAAAAAAATCTGCATAGAAAAGCCCGCAAGCATCAGGGTCAGTCAATAATTTAATCAATTTGGCAAAAACCGACGAGAGTTAATGCGCGCCACAGAAGCACGACCAGATGTGATCAGCTTTCAGGCATCTCACGGAAGTACGCCCATCAGACTACCTGTATTATTGCCAGAAAGTGCTCTTTGAAAAGCGCGGACCCGTTGTAACTTTTCCGCTAGCACGCACTCGGCGGTCTGGAATAAGGGTGTTGTGTATGCTTTATGGCACCAGGCACAAGAGTGGAAAAACAATAACAGTGACATTCATTTTCTTCTCATCTGAAATTTATCCAAAGACGAGGTGTAGCTGAGGATTTTGTTTTCTGTAGTCCACATTTTACATAAACACTTCCGTCGGAGTCTATATGTTAACAGCTCTTGTCAACCACAGAAGTACCGTCCAGTTCGGAATGATTTTGTACGTTAGTACCAAGATAGATATCCGTGGAACCTGTGAATCAACTGCCACGCAGCATATACACGGTGGCTTGATCCGTCTTTGATTTATTCGTCTGCGATTTTCTATCAACCCTGCTTCAAATGAATAGGGGAGTGTACGCCTATCAAATGAAACCTAAAATGTGAGGCCTGCAGTGATTTGCTGAATGTTTTTCAGCATCCTTATGGGTAGCAGGTTTTCAGGCATCTTACGGAAGTACGCCCATCAGATTACCTGTATTATTGCCAGAAAGTGCTCTTTGAAAAGCGCGGACCCGTTGTAACTTTTCCGCTAGCACGCACTCGGCGGTCTGGAATACGGGTGTTGTGTATGCTTTATGGCACCAGGCACAAGAGTGGAAAAACAATAACAGTGACATTCATTTTCTTCTCATCTGAAATTTATCCAAAGACGAGGTGTAGCTGAGGATTTTGTTTTCTGTAGTCCACATTTTACATAAACACTTCCGTCGGAGTCTATATGTTAACAGCTCTTGTCAACCACAGAAGTACCGTCCAGTTCGGAATGATTTTGTACGTTAGTACCAAGATAGATATCCGTGGAACCTGTGAATCAACTGCCACGCAGCATATACACGGTGGCTTGATCCGTCTTTGATTTATTCGTCTGCGATTTTCTATCAACCCTGCTTCAAATGAATAGAGGAGTGTACGCCTATCAAATGAAACCTAAAATGTGAGGCCTGCAGTGAGTTGCTGAATGTTTTTCAGCATCCCTATGGGTAGCAGGTCATTTCGAGAATAGTTGTGCAGATTTTGTTGTGTAACAACCGATTGCCCAACTGGCCTGTTTTGTCGCCTGGCGTTTTATTGGTCAGTTCCTAAGCAGGTATCCTTCCTCCGTTGGTAATCGGTCTGTCCGTTGTGCTGAGTTCTGTGCGGTACCGCGCATCCGGTGTATCACCCATTTCTACTTTGGAGTACCTGGATAATGATTCTGGACTAGATACATCTTCCTTGGAGTCGCTCGTGCATGAACATCAGCCAGTTGATGAATGTGTTAAGAGAGCAACTGCCCAAAACAGACAATTCCAGGAGAGTCGTCACCAGTCTGATTGTCAGACAAAATAAGTTATTCCCAACGACCTTATCTAATGTACGTTGAAGTTTCAAAGCGCTGTATGAGAACATATCCAAATCGATGAAACCAAGTTTGATAATGCGTCTCTATCAAGGCTATAGTGATCACGAGAAACACTGAAATTTGAGCAGTGTGATTGAGTCGACAGACGACACAAAACTGTTCTACCTGTGTCGGCCGACTGGCCTAATTTTGATCGTCCTGTGCACTTAATATGCACTGGTAAGTCATATATGTGGAGGCGTCTTGATGAGTCCACAAGTGCGTCTGGTAAGTCATATATGTGGAGGCGTCTTCATGAGTCCACAAAACCTGAGAATCCCGACGGTTTCAACTGAAAGCTTTTGGTTTTTACCGAACGAACTTTGGACGGCTAGCTTGATGGAAAAAACACAACTCATGTTTCGCGACCATGGCAAAACACGATACGGAACAGCTGCAATTCATCTTATTTTGGCAAAAGCAGGCAACAAAGGGCGTGTGCGTTAGGAACAGATGTTACGGACATAGTCGATGAGAGTTTCAGCCTCGTATCCGGCTTTGCACAGCTCCATTAACTGAGGTGAATGCAAGGCTACCTCGTGGACCTGAAGACAGATAGATAGCAAGATGTCAGTGAGAAAGTCAGTCTAATCAAGGAAGCGAAAGATTCACCACTAAATGAAAGACTTAGGATCCTACAATTTGAGCTTAGGTTTGTACTAATGACTGAGAGTGCACTCAAACGAACAGGAAGGTGTGTTCACACAAGATTCCTCCTAACGTCCACCAATAGCCTCCAGTATTCTCGTAAGAACCTGGTCATTATGCTAAACAGTGGGGAAGATTGTCAATGGGGCACCATGAATATCAAGTGGATATTGGGTCCACGATTGAAACTGGTATTTGTGAAAGGGGTTAGTAAGTATCGATATATCGGAATTCTGGACAGCTCGAAACGTTTTGATATCAACTCGCACGATGCTAGCAAAGAATACGCGAAAATTTCCAGCTACGTAGCAGATGACTGAGCTGTGTTAACTCTACGAAACAAAATACGTAGTAAAACTATGAACGGTTTCGCCCGTCTTGAGGCTCATCGAGTAGTCGCAGTCAACTTGAACCCGACAGATTTTGTCGAATGCTCCTGCTTTTAAACGAATTTGGTTTTGAAATGGGACACGAGTGATCCGCCAATGATGTTTCGCTTCCACTGAATGAACATCTAGAACACAAGGCTGATTGCATCTCATGAAGTGCGCCTACCTGATGATGAATACATTCTCGTGCCCCGAATCCATCAACACGTCACTTCCTCGATCAAAACCATAATCCGATGGCACAAATATTTGGGAAATGTTAGTCTTGTGGACGAACTTATTCCAGTTATTCATGAAAAGAAAGTGTGTCGCTTAACTTCTCACCCAAATACTGACGTGAATGCATTATCTGAAGATATTTCTACTGTTTATCTATCTGTTTCATCCCAAACTTCGTCACAATTTTTTCAAAAAGGTTGATATCCGCTTCTAGTCAAAATCATGGCTTTATTGTTGATACTGGTAGGGTTGGGTCCATTGTTCCACAATCAGATCTAACTGCATTCTACCCCAGTGCCGTGATAGTGCCTACAGATGTTAACATTCGTGGTATCACTGAACACTCCTTACCTCTAGTTGGCAGTTGCACGATCCCTGTGAGATTACCCAAAAGTTCCCCTATCGATTGTATTTTTTTGATTTCAACGTCGGGATCGTCAAATAACGGATTTAAAATTCTACGCTCACTGCAAACCAGTATCAGCTTACCGACTTCTGTGAATGAGAATGAAATCAAACAACTGATTCTCAAGTTTCCTAAGCCTACAGGTGGCAGGCAAACACCCAGGAGGCGAATCGTTCCGTTTGGCTTACACGAACCTGTTCGTCAAACACTCCAGCGAGTTCACGCCGACTACTGTGGTCCTTTTCTCGGCAAATACTATACTTTGGTCGTTATTGACGCACATTCACTTATGCCTGAAAGTTTTTTTGACTAAGTCTGTAAGTGCGGAATTCACCCGGCATGCATTGGGGAAAGTGTTCAGCCGTGAATGTGTACCAACTGTTTTGGTCACTGGCAACGGCACACACTTCACTGCAAACATCCTGGGGGAATGTTTGGAGGGTCTTGCTGTCGGCATCTGTTCACGCAACATCCCCAGTCGAATGGACTTGCTGAAAAGTTTGTTCGAACACTTAAGTCTGACATTATTTCACACTATCCTACTACTTTTGTGGAATTGGACCATGGGATTGATAATTTTCTCATGCAATACAGAAACGCCGTTCATTCTGTTACTGAGAAAGGTCTCGCACTTCTATGCAAATTTCGTTCGTTGCGTACAAGTCCTGACTCTGCCTAAACGGCTGTTGTTACATTTTTCAAGGGTAATGAATTACGGCCTGCCACAGGAATAATACTCTCATCAATTGGCAAACGAATGGTCACAATTCTCGATTTGGAAGTTCGCTCTTGTCATCGGAGACACATTGACCGGGTTGAGGTGAATACCTGACGTCAGTCTGTTAGCGGCACTCCTGCTGTTTCATATACCAATGAGTCCTTTATAGATGATCTTATGGTATCTGAAAATAACGTATCTGAAGAACACACAACCTTTGAAGAGTCTGAAGTTTCCATTCCAAGAAGATCCGAAAGATTGCGGTCAATACCACCACTGGACTATAAACATCCACACGCTCATTCAAGGTGTGGCGGATGTGATGAACATGACTGATACTCTACTTATTGCTTTGTTCATTATTCTCTTGTTCAATTATTCCATATGCTGTATATTTTCGCCAATCCGAATACATACGTGCTGGTTGTTACGCTGCGATTGATTTTGAATTTCTAGTTCGTCTGGATATACCGATATACGTACAATAATAAATTCTCACACAAAACGCTGTCATTAGATCAAATTGTATGAAAACAGACGAACCAGTAGGAGGCCGGCACTTTTAACTGGACTTACTCTGTACAGATTGGTTTTGTCGATTCCAAAAATAATGGACGATTCTTGGAATCAACAATGGCATTCTTTTCAGGCAGGTGTGACACTGACAAAGTTTTTTTAAGGGTTTGTCCTTGATCAATTCTAAATAGTGAAATTACTTGCAGAATTTCTTCTCTAAGAAAGCACTGTAGAAGAGCACAGCGCCACTGGCCCAGAGGGTCGAACCCTAGCGAGTCACAAGGTGCAAATGCTGGGAATCCGTGGCTCTTCAAGCGAAATACTTGCAGGTAGAATCGAACGAGTTTTGTAAAAATGGGCTGCTCTCGTTGATCAAAAAGCGGGATGTTTACCATCCTATACAGAATAACCAGAATTTGAGTCCACAGATTTTTGAAGGTGGTTGTTAAAACATTGAAACCACGATACACACTCATAGTAAGACAGCGGTATATGTATGAACGTATCCGACTACATTAGTCATGGGTATCATCTTGGGCTTGTTTTTGTACAGATTTACAGCACCTTTTGTTCCGGCATTCTGCCGGTTGTACGTCGACTTGCTCGGGAAATGTTACTTGATATTGTGCTTTTTTGAGAAACAAACCTAACCACTCCAGCTAGATTTGTTGGCCAGATCATATTTCAGTATATTCCTTGGCAGTGTTGAACACAGGGACCCTGCACAAACAGAGAAACCCTTCTTCACGACTGTCCTGTGTCACTTCCAACAGCAATCTATCACATTTTTGTGGTTGTTGTGTTATGCTGGTTGGAACTCAAATCTCAATGTGTTCAAACTGAACTAAATTCAGCTGAACTAAAGTAAAATTCAACGGAATTGAACTAAACTGAAATGAACTAAACTGAACTGAACTGAGCTGAACTGAACTGAACTGTTAGCACCAAATTTGCCCCGCAGTTTCGTTTGCTGGACGTTTAACTAAGAGCAATTTTTAGACCGAGGCTCACCTTACGTGACGTCGTGGGTGAAAACATTAGCTGGTAATGTTTGTACATTTTTGCACATCCTTTTTTCCGTGCATCACGAAGTCAACTTGCCTGCTGAATTGTGAAGCAGTGCGTCCGAAATTGATCGAATACTGCCTTGAAACACATGAGCTCATCCCTCTTGGACAAGCCCTTCAGCGACGGCTTATGGTGGGTTGTCACATCCTCGACGAAGTCACGAAACGTATTCTTGACGATGTGGCCAAGCTGAAAAAAGTGAGACAATAATTGTACGAGTTAGTAGAGAGACTATTATAGATTTCTTGCACATCTGTACGACTCTCGCTGGATTTTTGTGTGGATTCTAGAAGGCGCCGATAAAATATTGGACCGATGACGTTTACCTGCTCCAATGCATACTCAATTCCTATTCCACACCACAAAAATAGACTCATACATAAACCGGTCTTTTATCGTGCATTAAATTCCTCTGTTTAGATCAGCTGGATAAGAAAAGGAAAATACGAACCTGAAGTGCACGGTGCAGCTTTCGCCAAGCAGTTTCGTGTTCTTCCTCGGTTGCGGCCTGCATCAAGCGTCGATACCTTGATAACAAATGCGCCTGGCAGGAGGGCTTTCTATCTACAGCATTTGGCTGGAACCAAGAAAACAATTGAACAACACTTATTGTTAACAGAAGCTTTATCAATGCTGATCGGAAGAATTATTTTCATAGACTACTCGCTATTAAGAAGAAACTACACAAAATCACTCAGTTAACAGGGTAACGCAAATTGCTGGCGAAATTCATTTTCCTGTGCATCGGTTTGGAGTAAGTAGAACATCACTAAAGGTTCCATGTATTTCGCTGAAAATCCGAAACGTGTGTATTTTTATGCCGTGAACACATCCAACCAAACTCGCTGATGAAACAACGACAGCGTTGCAGAATTATAAAGCATATTGAGTTTAGCAGGTGACCATTTTTGTGCTCTTTTCATGGTCAGTTGTAAACACCTCGGTTCCGTCGGGGGGTGTAACATGAAATCCACGAATAATTTCAACCGGTTAAACACTTGTCTGTCGGACTGATAGGTTTTCAACATCAGCCCAATTATCACTGACCTGACCATGCGCAATCATCAGACGCTCCATGTGTTACATCTACGATTCGCTCGCTCCGTTGTGGTCATGCAGACTGACCGCTATTCATTCAAATGCGTGACTATCAATCTATCTATCTATCTATCTATCTATCTATCTATCTATCTATCTATCTATCTATCTATCTATCTATCTATCTATCTATCTATCTATCTATCTATCTATCTATCTATCTATCTATCTATCTATCTATCTATCTATCTATCTATCTATCTATCTATCTATCTATCTATCTATCTATCTATCTATCTATCTATCTATCTATCTATCTATCTATCTATCTATCTATCTATCTATCTATCTATCTATCTATCTATCTATCTATCTATCTATCTATCTATCCATCTATCTAACTATCTATCTATCTATCTATCTACCTGTCGATCTAGAGATTTGTAGGAAACCATATATAATGCCCTATCGGGTATCTCTTGTTTCAATCCGAAGATATTTTAATTGAGATCATTGAGTCAGCTCTCAATTGTCAGTCTCCGTCTATGTTGACTGGCACGTGACGTGTTTCGTCCACTTAAGTGACAACATCTTAAACTGTCTTTGGAATGAGAAATGGTCACTTGGTTCCTTTAAGATCCAGTGGCGTAAGTAATAACTGTTCCAATGGACAATTCAAGCTATCGAATATTGCGCATAAGACGTACTGCTATCGCCCCATCATTCCGGTGTATCAGTAGGTCATAATGACCTTGGAACTTTCCAACTGGGAGACTTCCCATCGTCTGAAAGGAACAATAAGCAGACACTTTTCAATGCATTGTCAACCAAGATAGCGTTTTGTTCCTTACAATGATGAAGCGGTACATCGTGCGACCGTCGTTTCACACTTTAATACGTGCTAGTGTTGAAAGATCATGTTGATCAATGAAGATCGGTTCCGAAACCGTCCCACAAACTTCAGACTCATCAGTCATTGATGTCCACCAAATCCCTAATATTATCACCTACGTTTGCTCGTTCAGATCCAAGTCACTCAATTACTAACCGGTAACCATCCGGTTAGTCACGAGTCAGTACTGATCAGCAGCGTGATTGGATTTCACTTTCGTCAGCACACAGCGTCACTTATCGTTCAATCACGGAGAACCATATTACGTGGCCACTTATTGACAGGATCCACGAGGAAATTTCATACGGAAACTTCAGTCCTCGTGTTGATCTATTATTCATCTGAGTTACTTGTAAACAACTCATAAAAATTTAACTTTTTTTGTACCGTAGCACAGAAACGTATGAATAATAATGTACCTCATGCCATTGCTTGGTTATCCGAAAAGCGACACTGGCTATGCTTGGATATATAGATGCCTGGACTGGCAATTTTGCTGAACTTCGTCTACGGAACCTGAAGTTCCTTATCAAGTAATTTTAACATTGACCGTCACCTTTCACAGGTAACAAAATAAAACTTCCATCTCCATAAATACACTCAGTTACATAACAATTAGACTTTTCACAAGTGACCCAAATGTATCTCTCCGTGGCATTTTGTGACTCACCATTTCACCGTATTTCATCACGTGGCTAAACATTGTAGTCCTCTTTACTCCCACGTATTGTTCCTCTAGCGTATGCGTTTTTAGGTCTTTCTGCGTGCGAGTGAGAGATAAAAATATATAGGAGCTATGTGGAGCAGGCAGATCAGCTTACGCAATTGTACGACGAATCCGCTGTAGGCAAAACATTGAAAATATCACTGGAATTAAGACACCCGCGGTATGCAAGGACATATACTGCTGATAAATTCGTCACCTCAGCGCTGCTCCTGGACACCACACATGCAGATACAACACATCTTTTGATCCCCGTCATCATCTTTATCATCATCATCATCACCATCATTCTCGAGAGCAACATTAGAGGAAAATACTGATGTTTTACTGCCATACACGCAGTATAAATTATTCGTGGTGGAAAAAGAAACAATAATGTAACAGGAAGGAAAACCTAGGGCTAGCTTACAGCAAACACCCGAAATGTCCACACATCCGATACCTAGTCAGACAATCTGGATAGAAACGAACAGCCTGAACACAATTAGAATATTGATTCATTTCGACAGATATATTGAGACGAAGGCTCCAGACAATTACTCAGGCGATCTGAACTGACAATTATAACAACAACTCCAATAACATCGATTCAAGGACAGTCACGGTGAGAATCGGGCGATATACGTCGTAGAGCGCGAATTACACTGATAGCACATCGACTTTTGCTGGTCTCTTTCATTTCACTCTGCAAGGTCCGAGGCAAACCTGTTTGGGAGGATAGTGAGAAATTTCGGACATACAAACAATGGTTTGATTATTTTGGGGCCACCGGACGGCCGTAATGCCTGAATTGCCATAAATCCTCTTCATGCATGAAAACAAAATGAAAAATGGTTTTGAGAATCAAGTGGACTACCACTGGCTGCTGAATACCACCGGATTACTCATCTATAACTGACAGGCTCATCGGCAACAGTTCTGTTAAAACTTACGAATTCCGAATCTACAATCCAGTGAAACGAGTATTCGTTCGCTAGACAAACATCGATTTCCTCGTCCATACAAAAAATAGCATGGGAACCTTCATCTTCCTTGGCTGATGTTGTCGCGTAGACTGCAGGTTGAGGGGTTCAGACAACAGACACTGTAGGTCAATATCAAAGATGTGTGAAATAGCGAGGTGAAATATCAACGAACGGATCCTGTGTCTAACAGAAATAATGAAGCTGACACAGACCTAACACACTACTCACACGGTCGCTGACATTTCATTGACAGAACATAATGCTTTTCGTGCTTCTTGCGGCGAATCAGGTAGACAGTCGTTGAATTTCCCTAAAACTCAATCAAGGCTTGAACCCAGGCTGGGCAAAACTTGCCAGACATTCTAATGAACGAGAAATTTATCTGGGTTCGGTTGGGTAAACCCGTCAAAATCAAATCAGTACGTGAATGTATAAACTCTCTGGAAAAATCCATTGACGAGAACGGTGAAAGGTAGCCACGCCACAATCATTAGTTTTGTTGTTTGATGGGTTGAAGTGTACATTTTATAAAAGACCCACCATCCATTTGAAATTTATAATGAAGTTATCCACTTGGCATTGGTGGTTGCTGCAAAACAACACCAAAATATCACAGGGGTTGTACCGGTGACACAATGATTTGCTCCACCCAGATTAAACTTGTTTTGTAGCAAAAGCGACATCATCCGGTGAAGGCTAGATTTTGTGCTATCACCGGCCAAACATATCTTGCGTAGACTCAGGAGCTACTTCCATACAAAGATCGCCAAGTGACCAAGCATAAACAAGCTTGGAAATTCGTTCTGTTTTATTGGTTAATGCTGCTTTTAAACCACATATATGATTGCAATTCCGAATTCAATTTTACAGGATCCATGCAAGAATCAGCCAGAAATTTACGCTACTTACTTCCCATATTTGAAGGAAGAATATCGCGAAACATAGAGCCAGAGTAGCAAGCATCCACGTACAGCACCAATTTGTTGAACTTTTTATTCGAATGCATGTAGGCGAGGGTATCGTTCAACTCCATCCCATACAGCTGTCGCAAGACAAGAAGAAACATTCTCGTGAGCTCGAAACGAGGCACTCGATGAGTCAGTCACCATTGATGTGAATCCCTTGATAGAAGAATGAGTGGCGTTATATCCGTACTTAGTGCAGAAAAATAGGGCTGTTGGTTGGTCGCTTGTGGCCGAACGGTTATAGGCTGCAACTACCAAGCGCACCACTGATGATTCCCAATAAGAATGGAGCAGTTGTACATTGCTTCATCGGTTTCCATCACAGACTGGTTTCTCGTAAATAACCACAAAACTCCATACTAATAAAGATTCGTGCGGTCGCTCTAGAAGCGAAAAGAAGTATGTTGTCTTGTCAGGAATAATTCGGCTGACACCTGCTTCGCATCATCCACGCCTCATGAGTGACCGTATACGACCGGCTACTTTTTCTTACGGTATCTACGTTTGCTCGGCAGTCTGCAAAACAAAACCTATGTGTCGGTGTCATTTAAAGCACATTGACTGGACCTACCAAATTTGATTTCCTAGGGATATCACTAGTGAGAGAGACGTACGAACATCGTTGCTTATGTTCCATTTTTTGGTTGATGTGCAAAACAGCTTGACTACAAACTCTCTTTTATAAAGAATTACCGATGTCATTGCACCAAAATGTTTACGTAAGCCTTTTCAAAATTTTTCGCTATGTAGCTTCCGATTAAAAAACTGCGTGCTAAAACCGTGGTTACCAAAATTAACTAAACTTACATTCTCTTCTAGGAAGGCAATATAGGAAGTCCCACCATGGCCCGAATAGAAGATGAACACGTTGTCATTAGGACCGCTGTTAGTGGGCAGAAAGGCAAAAGTGATCTCGAAGAGTAGCTTATTGGCTGGTGCACTAACGCATAGGAAAACACAAGAAAATGCCCGCGGCAATGGAAGCATAGCTAACACGTAGATCAGAATATTGTTTTGTACACGCTGCTGGATATAATCAGTAGCTAAATTATTTTCCACTAATCTGCTATTTGCATAGGCACGTGAATAAGGGGATGAAAATTCGATTTTCTGGACGTCTGTTTGTTGATTCCTATGTCTTTCAATGCACGAAGATGGTTGGAAGCAGTTTTCCACTTGAGCTAGTTTTCCCATCTTGCCGTTGAAACAGTCACACTCAGCTCTTTTAAAAACACGCTCTTGTTAGAATGATTAAATCTGCTTAATGAAATATCTTCATAATATATACACTACTAAGTAAACATTTTATGACCAAAGTGGAGCGATCCTAATTTTGAACAGGGATATCCAAGAAGTCATACGTTTTTATCTAAAACTGATCTGGAAATGTTCCGTTTGCTGGTCGTAAATCAAGATGGTGTTAAGCCGTTCTCTGCTCGTAGTGATCGGCTTGCAAATGCTTCATCACCAACCGAAGTGGAATCATGAGTGAGTGGTTGGGTTGAAAGTTACTCCATACCTGTCTGATATTATACAGCTGTGACTGGCTGAAGGGAGCATGCACTTGTCGGGGTCCAAATGGTCGAATTCGAACTTCGCTGATTTGTGGCTGGCATCACCTGAATTCGACTGCGGCTTTAAGTAGTTTTTGTCTGAAGACCTTTTGCTCATAGTTTAATTGATCGGTTACCGATTTCTAATGTGCTTCGTTCTGGTTTTCCATATTCGACTGGCTCTCACTCCGACGTCTGTATTCGGTAGTACATATTGATTGGTTGTTTCTGTTGTGCTGTTGTTGTGCTGTAGCCTGATTTTTCGAAGTTTGTTTTCTCGAATGCTCTTCCAGTTGATAAAACTTGTTTACTGTGCGGAGGAACTTATCACCTTTGGTTACCTATTTTATAGACAATCTGCTTTCCTTCTCTATCCCAACTAATTTACCGGCGGGATAGGAGAAACTAAATGTGTTGGACTTAGTATTGGAAAAGCTTTTAACCACCTTTCTGTTCATCTACTTGTTAGATCTGCTGACGAACTTGCATAAAGCGGAAAACCAAACTAGATAGTGCAAATATTGACGGAAAAAAATAACGTCGAGCTACCCTAAGATAAAGTTTTGTACAACTTTAGCCAAGTTTCAAAATACAAACGATTAGACTTACAATATGTCAATTAACGAAAATAGCTCTTTGGAATGTGCCCGACGAAATATTCTGTCTGAAAATGTGGTTTCGCAGGAAACTAGCTTGCCACAACAGGATATAGCGTCCACGAGAAACAGCGGAAACCTAATACTATAGGCGATAGCAAATAAAGTGCTACATATCTATTACCACTTGATGGCTCAACAGACAGTGTTCACAAAAACTTTTAAATCAAGAGGTTTTCTGTCAAATTGCAAACGAAAAATTCGGTTCAGGAGAGCTGGGAATATGTAGGGCAACATCCGTCGCAGGTCCATGTACGAAACACCGGTTGATCAGCAAACACGCACAAAGAGCGGGTGATTACGGATTTTGTCGCAAATGCAAAGCCAAACTGCATAAAATTGACAGGATGAGAGACTTATGGTATGCGAGCGAATAAATATTTGCCTTGTTTCCTGGCTTATCTCTGTATTCCGACGCTTCCCATTTCGTCCTGTGGTGCGGGTTAAGAAGGCGTGGGAGGAAGTTTGAAAAAGCAACTTTGACGTTACCAGCCCACATAAGCGAGACAGGTATTCTAAAAGCTTAGGGTATTATGAGTGAATAGCGATACAGACTTAAGGGACCGCCATTAACCGACAGTGGACTTGGATTTCGATCATCCAAACAACAGTGTTTATTTGCCTTGTTCAACACCGTGAGTTAAAACAATTCCTGAATCCGAGAAAACCAAGATCGGCCGACCCATGTTCCACAAGTTCGACGAGACATTTGAACAGTCACAACTGCGCATATCTGAATATTTTTGAAAATTCTGTGCAGTGCCGACTGTCTATGATTAAATAATAACCCGAAATCAGAAATGGATAAACCGTGTTTCCCGTGGAGTGAGCAAATCCTTTTGACTGACTTCTGGGAGGCTTACTGAAGGTGATTATGTACCAAGTTACTTACGAGAATACGAAACACGCATTTCGTAAATACGAAGACGGTAACATGCAAAACGAGAATCCTGGCTGTGATCAGCCAGTGCATCAACAATATCCACTTCCGCGCCAACTCACCTTTTCAGCACCTTCTTCTTGTTGTTTTCAAGTTTCTTATCGCCTTTTAATACTCTCACGAAGTTGTCTCGTGTGACATCCTAAAACGGATTAACATGCATGACCGGTTATTCCTCTGACAATGCTGTTCCCAGCACTCATTCTCTTCCCAGTAACCATCCACTTTCACCATAAGAAATAAGTGAAATCTAGGATCTGCTCCCCAACTTCATTCATTGTATTCCCGCAATGGTCACTGTTTGCTGAAAACTGAAGATTTCGGTTGTTGATATGTTTGCCAAGGATGACATTTGGATTTGCTCCCCAAGCCTAGGGTTGGTAGTTGAGTTGAACATGAATTACCCTGAAGCACTACCAAGTATACCTTATCTACCTCGGTATCTGAGGAAGGCAACATACGTACAACATACAACCTAATTGCAGTGAGTATCACACGTTATAACTCAAACTGAACCACGGTCGAACATCTCTTATCGATGATATGCTTTAGCTGGATGTGCTGTCCTGGACATGCTGCTTGTTTTGTTTGGTGCATCACTCGGGATATCACAGGATATTTTCCCGGAGAAAGCTATTCTGGCACTGTTGGTCCTCGTGCACGTTTGGTGGTTCTTTTGACAAGAACGCCAGCCTAATTGATAGGCCAAAAGCAGAAAGTTGAACTCGGGCATGCGCTGCCTGACCGTTAGCTATGACCAGTGTTATGAATAATGCTCGTTCAAATGGAGTGGACATTCTGTAATATGGTAAAACTAAATGGCATGCGCTACGGCTTGTACTGTGTTTTGATCCGCAGTGTCATTTCACTTGCATCTTTTGTTACACGGTGAACTGTTGGAGGAATTCACTTGATTGCTGCGCACCAGAACACAGACTCACATTTCCTCGGTAGTCAATTATCACACCATTGTAGACATCAACGTGGTTGTAGTCATGGAAAACTTTGCCTTTAAACGGATTTCTGGAATAAAAAATGAAATGTGGAAGTCAGTCCTCCGTCGTGTGTCATGGCAACCATGCACCTCAAAGATGATTGTGGCGAATACACGATTTGGCAATAAACGTCTTACGATTGTTACAGTCCCCTCGCAAGAACTACTTTTTATTGCTCTTAGAAGGTTTTTCTCCTCTTCGGCTGCTTTGCTCCAAATCATCATCCAGCTGATGCCCTATAGCGACATCTAGATATCAATGCTTTTCATTTCTGGCTACGGAAACGAGTACTCAAACGAGTACATATCATCATCACCATCGACATCGCCATCATCATCATCAGAATGTACTGCTTGCATCAGGGTTCTATTGCGTCTACAGCCATGAAAAGGCATCATCTCAAGGAAATTTGTTAAGACATCTGACGCTACACCCGAAACCCCATAATGGTCTGCAACTCAAATTCAACAATTATTTACATGAGAAATACGGCAAGACAATGAGTCGTGTTAAACCCAAACGACGATGCGCGTTTTCTACACTCTATTTGCTACCATATAGGGAAAATGGTAAGCGATATTTACTTGGGATTGTTTGCGACATCGTCATATGCGAAGGTAATAATATTCTCCGGTGGAACATTGTTTTCGCGCACCAATTGATACGCGTGAAAAACGTCCGCCTGAATGAGAACACAATGACAGGGTATTAAGGATTAATTGAGCAGAGTGAGGCATGGAGGCTAAAGTACTTAAGCAGGTTGTGCAGGATAATCCATACATGATGGTGTCTCATTTGTCCCTACAGAATTTGGATGCATTATCCCACGAAGGGGAAGCATGTTTCTACTCTGGAAGAACTTGTGTGGACCACAGCTCTACATTCAGTCAGGTGTCCGAACAACGACGTGCTCACCGAAGCTGTACAATCTTGGAATCCTCTGACTTCGAAAATACGTCTGAAACCGTCGTCCGCTTCTGTGTTAGGTAAATAGTCACATTGCGGCGGAACTCTGTGGCAATAAATTATTACCCACTGAATCTTAAGAATGGATACACACTCATTGATTATGCGTAACATTTTCAATAGGATTCCCATATAACCCCACGCATGTGATAGAAGAGCGGACGGACGAATTTGACCAAGATAGATTTGTATGTCTATTCCAAATACTTGATCTCACCAGGTAGTATAGATTTATCCGCTCACATTTCCTAGCAATTGCGGTGCTTTCGCCATGACAGCCAATGCTTTTGTACGTCAGTGGTTTATGTTGGGATTTCTGAGACCCGGTTTATACAGCAGGTCACTCTAGGCTACGGTACTGCGGGGCCCGTGATCGTTCCTCCAATATGTTGAAGCTACAGTGTCAGGTCAGATGATTAGTGGTGGCTGGAAAACCATCGAATTCGTGTTTTATACAACCACATACCTTCCACTCACAGGCCGTCATTTCACCATACATAACTCAACATAAAACACTAATGGGTGACGATGTCGGTTTCAGATTAACGTGAATCACACTATGCACTCAGTAACCTCGGAGTATAATAGGACCGGAGCATCGACCCTACTCAAAACAAAATATCGGTTTACGACAAGGAACTACTGACGAAAACATTGCATGTCACGAAATGTACGTTCTTTAGTGTGTTCATTAGTGTGCCCATTGCTTGTTGATCAGATGGCTGTTGATCTGTTCGCCGAGCTTGGCAATTGGCTTGCAAACGTTTCGTCACCATACGAGGAGTCATCATCGGTGCGCAGTTGGGTGATGATGATGTGTCTTCGTACGGTGACGAAACGTTTACAAGCCAATTGCCAAGCTCGGCGAACAGATCAACAGCCATCTGATTGACAACCAATAAACTCACTCGAGCTACCAATATTTTACCACATTACCATGTGTGTCCATTATTTGTGAATTCTACCCACCGCCTTTTAGGGTGAAATATCACAGCTGTGGAGAAAACTAGGTAGGACACAACTGTTTAGGGATTATTATTGCAAACGTACACTTTGAAAACCCCTTCTTCCGGGATTAAGTTGAACTTTTGAGCCTCAAACCAATAAAAAACCAACGGTAACCTACTTGATGTCGATAATTTTCCCAGGTGTTGGAACCGGCGGCCAGGACAACCCAGTTCCTTGAGGGCTGGTTGTTAAATAGGGATGACCAATTGTGGACACTGACGCCGTCCAAACATGCAACGTGGTCGATGCAGAACAGGAACGCGAGAAGGAGCGAACAACGACGCATCATATTTCGACTTACTTGAAGCTTCATGTGCCTGAAATTTTATACTGTGCGTCTCAAGTGTGGTGAACTTTGCCTTTCAAATGTATGACGATGGTGTGGAACAACTATCCACCAAAAATCTAATAGGTCTGGGGTACAAAGTTTGTGCTAATCGGTGTATGATCAACCATTTTGATCAGCTTGTTCAATGGCCGATTATTTGCACAAACTTATTCCAACAGTGTGTACGCTGGTGATTTTTGGTCTTTTTTAAGACAAATGTGGATCATTTCGTTGAGAGCCTGTGCGCTTAAGACATTAGTGAGAGGCCAACTGAGCCTGCAAATTGGTTTAACGTAGCGGCTGCATTCTGAAAACATTTAGTCTAGCGGCAACATTGATACGAATTTTAGTATTAAAAGGTTACAGTTGAAATGTGTAATCGGTAAATTTGTGTTTGCTTTTGGTCAAAATAAGACTTCATAAACTGGTTGGACTCAGGATGGAAGATTCTCAAAGGCTTGGTATTTACCCATTGCGTAAATCGCCGATTTATTGACACTTCTGGTTGATCTAGGTGAGTGACACCGAAGGTCACGCAAAACTTTATACCGAGGAATTTACTTTTCCCTATGGTTTTAGTTCACATAAATATACAAGTTCATGAAAATCATTGGATGGTCTGCTTCAAACCAGTAGAAAATTTCTCTGTAATTTTGTCACTCTCTGTGAACACTGCTCTTAATTTTCCACACTGAGAGTGTTCGTAGCAAGATTTCATTTTATATTGTTTTGATCAGGAATGGAGGATCAGCCTTTGCAAGCTGAAATTAGTATTGATGTTCCAATACTAGTCTTTGTATTGATGAAAATCCGCTTTAGAATTCGGAAGACTCGCCTGAGTACGATAGCCTGTTTGGATTGTGGGCGTCTGGAAGTGAATTCAGTCGATGTGTTTTCAATACCAATTTGATTTTCACGGATTCGTGCAAAACGTGAACTTGTCAACAACCAGGACGAATCCACTGACTCTTCTGCGGACCCTCGGTGCTCATTCTGGTTGTCTACGTGCTTATAGCGGAATGGCCATTCTAGATCGATGACTTCGACAAATGTCCTGCGGGTATGCTCAAGCGGTCAAGAGCATGCAGACTCTTTATTTTCACTATGACTGACCCACTTCACTCACTTACCTTCAGATAGAATGAACAATCAAGAAATCCGGTGTACCGGTGACCGGATTCCTGAAACTTATTCGCGAATGCCCTAAACCTACTGAAACTTTCAAACCACTTGATCGGAGGCTGAGACAGTCAACCAGTCAAGCAAGAACAAATGATGCTGAGTGTCCAACCAACGCTGATCCGAAATCCTGGATTCACTTCAATTCAAGAGTGCGCGATGCTCCTGTTCGTTGTGTTCCTTATCAGTGAGTCTTTCTCTAATACTTGGATGCTGCGGCAAAGTCAGTTCCTCGAAAAGTGACCCTCAAGAACCATATTAATCAAATATATACATTCAAGAACAGAGTTTAGTGATGGGATCAACACTATCTCAGATTTTTGCCAACAAGTACATAGGGCAGTTTAAGCAGAAAGCTTCAAACGGGCTCGATTGCTCATCATGGGTTTTCTGGCTTTACGTAGATGTAATGAAGCGGGATCGTGTTAGCAAATTGTTTCAATATCTGAAAACTTTGGATCCTCACATTAAGTTTAGCATGGTGCTAGAGGAATTGTTTCAATATCTGAAAACTTTGGACCCTCACATTACGTTTATCATGGTGCTAGAGTCCTCATTGGGGTAAATAACTTACTTTGACCGAATGACACACAAGACGGGTGGAAATACAAAACGAAATATTCACCGGAACTCAACAAAATATCGTCAGTTTGTATAAACATTCCGGTGGCTAGCTGCCATGCTACGCGATGGAAGCACGAGGGCTGGGATGCTGCTAGGTTCCCAAGCCTAGACAGGGGCAGTCGAGAGGCGGAGATCGGGTTCGAACCACGGATATTCCAGTCAGTAAATTCGCGCCCTAACTAATTGGGCCATCTCGTGGTCTTAAACTGCTACTCGGCACATTTAGAAGCAGTATATGCTAGTATAGATTCAACGATGTTTAGGAGAGTGAGAGCACAGTGTACGGAGGAGTTCGACCAAAGAGCAGCACAACTTGAGGTAGAAAAGCGATTTAGAGATAGGGGATACATGATGGGTTTAAGTCAGCAGCAACTTAGACGGGTATTGTTGGTAATCTCAAAATCCATCAACCAGTGGCCAGTCAAGACGATGTTCCCCTTCACCCGAGCGTCCATCTGATAAATTTACTACGCTGAAACAGCTAGTAGATGACCTACTTCCCTCTGTGGTGTTACCAGAACGGCGAGTCGAAGAAAGCAATTTCTTAAACTTACGTACGTGTGTGTCCTTGCGCTGTGTGCATTGACCTAAATTTACTTCTTCACGAGGATGCTGAAAATCCTTCGTCTGCCCACGACGTGTTTGGCTCATCCAGTTCGGTCTCATCAGGTGGGCGAAGTCCCCGAGATTTAGTCAACGAAATGTTCTACTTGAACCAGAATTGGACTGTTTTTGAGAAATACACTCATTTGCAAATCGTTTATGATGTTCTACAACTGAATACGTTGCACACACGCCGCTTCATGTTTCAGTTGGCATGATATTCGAGGTATCGCAGTAAATTTTCACAAAGGAAACTACTCACATGTTTGCTGAACAGCTGCCATTCCATACAAAACAGGGACATCTGAATTCATTAAAAT